AAGTGTTTCAGTTTGGGTTCACGTTCCGGTTCGTTTCATGAAACGGAACCGGTTCGTAACCCGTTAATATTTAAAAGTCGTTCAGCTTGCTTCCCAAATATTCAATTGTAATTGCAGCTACAAATGATAGAGATTGTCTATATGTAGAGCTGGATTTGTTGCGGCTTTTGCTTTTATTCTGGCAGCTTAATAACAAATTATAAAACATATCACGCTGCCAGGGGCTGTTAATGAAGTGTCAATAAACGGGATTAGGTCGTGATCAAGGTGCGCCAAAAACCTGTAATCAAGACGCTGAAACGTAAAAACAGCAAAACACACTCATTTCGTCTTACTTAATGGACAGATTTTCAATTAAGATTTAACTTAGAAAGATTGCATATTATTTTGCCTGACATGTACGCATTACATTGACAACATTGCGGAATTACTTCCGCTGCAGTTTTTTTGTTTCTTTCATTTTGTTCTCTTCCAAAGGAACAACAGATTGTCCTTTGCGTCTACCTGCTGTTTACCGGGTACACAAAATACACGAACACATGCTCAGAAGGTGACTGGGCTCTCATTTCACTTCCTGTTCAAAAGCGAATACCTCGAATACCCTGGCTATTTTTAACGAGACAACTCAATCGAGTCTACACACAAAGCACCCACGCACATACATTGTCTGAGTGTCTGAGTGTGTGTGTGTATTTCGATTGAATTTTTGGGTTCATAATTTGAAATCTTAAGCCACTGTCAAGGCGAAACTACCTAGGCTACCCTCACTAAACGGTCAATGGTGTCGCCGCGACTCGTCGAGAGACCTTGTGACGCATGCGCAGATCGCCGATCGCCGATCTCTCGTACAGAGTTGCTATTAGAATTTTGTTGTAAATATATACTATTTATCATAGCATGGCACACCCAATTTCGAATCGACTGCGCCCAAAATGACTTTGATAACTTTCATGGGGCAGACACCAGCTGGTGCTGCTCCACATGCAGTCGCCGCCAGATGACATTTTGTTATTGTCTCCGGCGTTGTTTGTAACATGAAACTGCGGCTGTTGCTCTTGAGGGGGCCAGACGAATGCGGGTGTGCCAGCTGGAGCCGTAGCCACATGGGAAAAGTCTATCGGTCAAACCGATCGTTCGACCGCGCTCGTGTTGACAAAACCCAAGTTGGGTATCGTTTGATAATAAATAAATAACTACATAAATTCGAACCCGTCGAAATGCACATTTGATTCTTTTTCTTTACCAACAAAACGCAGTTTTGTCAACAATTTTTTGACATACGATACTTTTGGCCATATTTTAAATCGTAACTGTGATCCATGGTTTCCGGGTTCGAGCTTTACACAAATATCGTTTATATAGTTCAAGCTGTGTTTTGGCCCCCAACTAAACTAATCGACTAAATAACTGTTTTATAGGCCACACAAGAACGCAGCGGCTGAGCTTCTTCTTACCTTGTTTATATGTACAGGAAATATAGGAAATTTATAGTGCAATCTCAATGATATTTGCAGGGCTCAAGAATGGCATAGAAAAGTGAATAGATACCAAAAATGAACTCTTTTCCAAAAAAAGAAACTATTCGAGAACCAATATATTAAGATTGGTGTATTTGGGTCTTATTGTTTGCGATTTATGGTGAAAATATATATCTAATGTTATAATGGAACTGGGACTAACTTTTAAGGTATTCGAGCAACTTTTAAGCTAGAAAAGTACGTGTTGTTTCCATAGGAATGTTCATGTAAGCTTGTTTATAAACCATACTCGTGTGGAATACCAAATTGGTTATGAGCAATAATCATTTACTTAATGCGAAAAATTTTCTGTTCAGGAAATACAAGTTGGGAATTTTTAGCCATATCTGTGGGTTATACATATATCTAAATTCTTGAATAGAAAGAAAGTTAAAATTAAAACCTTGTTTGGTTACCTTTGTATTGTTTTACGTAAGCTGTTGACTTCCGTCCCTGAGGTGTGTTTGCCTATTAAATAAATATTAACCGGCTTGAAGTTAGGAATGTATATCAGCCCCAAGTTAATGATATGCACAACACAAAAATCCACTCGGATCTGTTTATGCATATCATCCATCCATATAATGCGAAAGTCAACAAATGCGACGTACGTCGAAAGTAAACAGGGAGCAAAAAAAAAAATAAAAAACAGTTGTTGAGAACTTTCTGAGACAGATAATGGCAGAGCTTGAATGAAGCTAGTATAAGGTTGACAGTTGGCGCAGATGTATCCAGATACAATTTAGTTCAATCGATATACAGAAAAACATATGATGATGAATTGGTTGACTCATGATTTCCGACTCGTAGCTGATTTGCATACACGTACAAGTATGGCCAGTGCCCGTACCGGTTTTAACATATTTTCTAAACTTGAACACACACAAACTTCAGCTTCATTGCAATAGCAAATGGAATTAATTATGGTATCGTGTCGACGTGTACGGCGCCTCAGATCACCAACAAACGGCAACTCCTCCATTGAAACCCAGTCCAGATACGCGGACGCAGACGCAGTTGCTGGCACAGCCGAATGGAGTTCAAAGCGAGCTTCGTGACTCGACGAAAAGCTGGCAATAGGCAATAGGCCCGCCCGCCTTGGACCTAAAAACCTAAACACGTTTACTGCCATGCCGGTCCACAGAGCTGAGTTTTCCCTCGGGGAAAACTGAGCCAGCAGCTCGGCCTGGCCACCTTGGCTTATGCATATGTATCTGTATCTGCATCTGTATCTGTATCTGTATCTGTATCTTTATCTGCAACTGTAACTGTATCTGTGACTGCACACACGCATTTGTTTATGTATGTGAAAGTCGCAGCCGTTCGGGCGTTGCAAGCAGTCGCAGTCGAGTTGACACCCACGCAAATTGTGGCAGACAAAAGCGATTTAATGGATACAATCGATAAGTATCTCAACATCTACTGCCACGGCGAGCTGTGTGTGTGTGTGTGTGTGTGTGTGTGTATACGTACGTCTAATTAAACGACTTACATGCCGTGTGGGTATCCATATAGTATAGCCACTCGATATGGTCATTCATTATAGATAAATGCCATTTTTTTTTCGCTCTTGCCATTGGCGCCGCAAATAATTTAACTGCGCATTTGCATTTGCAAAAAATTCTAGCTTTGTGTGTGTGTGTGTGTGTATGTGTGTTTGTATGTATCTGTATCTGCCCTACTGAACAACAAATTGAACTTAAGCGCTTTTTGTTTACCACATTGCCCGACTTCGGTTTATATACGGATAATTATTTGGTTTGTTCGAAAAAAACCAATGCAAGTCGAGCCGAGTCCATTGGGAATTGGGTTCGGATTGCTCGCCGCACAAAACACGATCTCCACTTGGCCGGACTTATATACAAACATGTACAAATGTCACTTGGGACAATATTTATGCATATTTATTCATATGTTTATGGCTGTGGTCTGCCTCGCCAGGCGCCTTTTGCCACATGAGAAGCTAGAAATCAAACACGAGTTTCTCAATAGACGTTAATTATTATGCACGCAAACAAAAGTTTGTTCCCGTAAAGAATATTTGCTTTTTATTTAATGGATATTATTTTACGATATAGTGAACCCATTTGTGTTAGTGTAAAATCACGTCTCGAGAACTGGCAATCAATAATGCATATGCTGTTGCCCTTTGACAGCACTTGAAAGTAGATAACTTATCACTTCTGATTAAGTCTTAAATGAAGTGCACTATTATTGGAAAAAACAGGAAATACAAACAAACAAGTTTTGCTTTTAAAGGTGACTACTCGACAAACAATACTCTTGATCTGCATTCAGCTTCAATTACTTATTGCAGGAAATTGTTTGTGTATGGTATTTATTTAAATTAAACTAAATTCAAATGTTTTTAAGCGAATTTTTGCATTCTCCAATACCTGTTCCAAATGTTGTCGTACAGATAAAGTCCCCAGTATTGCTTAAAATAACATGTATATTTGCATTGGCAAGCGATATTTCAGCGAGTCAGAGCGGAAAGTACCGGGTTTGCCAGCGCAAAAGGAAAGTAATTGTTTGCCAAATCAGAAATTTGTTAAATTTTGCCAAATTCTGACTAACAAATCGAAAATATCGAGAGATTCATTGCGTTGTTTATCAACAGCACGTAACTGATAAGCAAACAGTTCCCAAAAACAGCTATCGCTTTGAGTAAAAACTGCCCCCATCCCTCTCTATTGGCGTCCCAGGATCGAGCCAAAGCGTATGTGCCAATGAGTTTAGCATTCGCATTTGCATATAATGACATCAACTGCTCGCATCGAGACGCGCTAATTGAGTGTATCAACAGAATACTTACCAAGTGCCCACTTTAGTGTTGTCTTTCACGACAATCCAAGCACGTCAGCAGCCTTCCAATAGCCGGATACTGAATTAAACAAAATATAACGAGTTTGAACCCGAAACTTCGCTCATAAAACCTTTGATTCTCAGCCAGAAGGTATGGTTGAATGGGTGGCTCCCGAAGATCTTTGAATAAGTTTCAAGTTGGTAAGCAAAAAATGCCAAACAATTGTCTTCCGCTAATCTTCCACCCTTTCGAGTGGAATTTTAAAATGCTGCGCTTTCTGTGACACAGAAGATATCTATGTCGCGAATTTCCGCATGCTTGAATCATTCAGTCAGACACTCGGTAAAAAAATCAACCGAACAGTCAGTCATTCAGTCAGGACAAACCTCTCCTATGTGGAGGTCTCTTCTACACTCCAAGTGAGTGTGCGCCAGGGCAATTCATATCGTACTCTTTATTCGTGTTGTTTTTTTTTGAATAAACGTTTTTTCTTTTATCTACTGAGATAAGATAAGCTTTGATATCACTAGCATTCTCGGTATAGCAATGAACAGTTCCGTGGGTATTTTATGTGGACCCAGGGGAAGTCTCAAGGGTTTAAAAGTTGACATAAGGAAGCAGATTATATTGTGTCTGATATCATCATAGCCAAGTCTTTGTTTTCTGTTCCGTTTCAGTAAGTTAACATTAAAGATGGGTCGCCAGTCAAGACTGGTGTTGCTGCTGGCCATCTCCCTGGCTGTGCTGCATGTGAGCCACTCGATCAAGGCCGCCAGGACAGTGCCCGATGAGCCGCTGAGCAATGAAATCTTTTCCGACGAGGAGCTCGATGCTAAAAAGGTAGGCATCAAAATTTCCACGCCCAAGGTGAAGGAGCTGCCCGTCGATACGACAACAACAAGGGCAAAGAAGTCAGAGAGCTTGGCCTCAAGGCTGCCGGTCAGCGATGAGACATTGAACGATCTGGTGGAGGCAGCCAAGCACAGTGTTGCCCTCGCTGAGGATCCGCGCTTCAACAAAATGCTGCCGGACCGTCTAAAGCCGGAGAATGCCACGAGCAGCAAGAACAGCACCGACGAGAACTACGAGTATGATGAGAATTACGATTATGATATGTACAACTACGACAGCTCCGAGTCCGAGCAAGACGACGACGATGTCAAGGATACGACCAGCGTGCGCCCCAAAAAGGCCAAGCCCAGTAAGACGAGCACGCCCAAGCTGCATCCCATTGAGGAAAGCACCTCCTCCAAGGTAAGTCGTAATCTCTTGTTCAGTTTGTGGAAACTCTAACCCATTAAATACGCTCGCAGGCCAAGATCAGCGAGGATGATGTTAATGACAATAAAATTGATAGCGACTCAGCCTCTGTAAATCAGGACGATATTGGGGTTGATGAAGATGATGATGATGATGATGATGACGACGAGGATGATGATGATGATGAGTAAGTCAGAGTCATAGCTGGAATTTTTCGGCCTTGTCCATTCAAAGTTGTTACTTCAAATAATTAACTTGCACTCATTTTTGACAACTTCTAGCTCCGACTTTGACGACGAGACGGACAAGCTGACGGATGAGGAGCAGGTCGTCTTTAGCGAGAATGTACCGTGCCCCAGGTACTGCACCTGCTCGCATAACATCAACAGCTACCTGGTGGCCACCTGCAGCAGGTTTGTAGACCCATTCCAAGCAACCAAGCTAGTCGATTAAGTCTGTGCTATTTGTTAGATTGGACCCTGGCACGCAAAAGTTCGGCTCGGATATCACCGATTTGGTGGTTACTAATGTGGGTCCCAAATACCCAATCTTGCTGGGCCCCAAGTTTTTCCTGCAGCTGGGCTTGAAGTATGTTGCCTCTATCAAGATCGCCAATTGCACCATCGAATACATGCACCCGGAGGCTTTCCATGGCTTGGATGAGCTTTATGCCGTCAATATGACTGATGTTGGGGTGGCAATTATTAATCCGGACACATTTGCCCAGAACAAGAAGCTGCGCATGCTGACCATCTCCGGAAACGATCTGAGCGTTATGTCCACTCTCCATTACCTGATAAAGGTAGGTTGTACAAACTCTAGAAATCGATTGCATTAAAATTCTCCCTTTAGTCTTCCAGCATCGAGGAGCTGGACCTTTCGCGCAACAATCTAATGGAGTTGAATCCCAGCGCGTTTTCGAAGCTCACCAACATAGTATACATAAGCCTGGCCCAGAATAACTTGCAGAAGATACCCGAGAATGTATTCGAGACAGTTGACAGCATCGAAGAACTGGACTTGTCCTACAATTCGCTGAAGGAACTTCCAGCCAACGTCTTCAATGGCACAGCTTTGTCGATATTACATCTGAAGTATAATTCTTTCACTGGCGATTTGCACTTTGGAGTGAAGGACCTTCAGCAATTGGACTTGAGCTTCAATTCCATTGTTCATGTGCATCATAGCATGTTTGACAAAATGCCCGGTTTGACTAATCTGAATCTGAAGGGCAATGGCATCACCAAAATTCAGCCAGACTCATTCCTTACGCTGGAGACCCTGCGCCACATTGACTTGTCAATGAACGAACTGGACCAGGTCTCCAGCATGCTGTTCTTCAAGAACGCAGAGCTGGACGTTATTCGACTGAATGACAATCCCCGATTGAGTCAGCTGCCAACTGACGGTTTCCTTAGCTCGAACGGCATCTTCACCGTCTACTATTTGGATCTTTCTAGCTGTGCCGTTGGCGCTCTGGGACACAAGACCTTCTCGACAATGCCGCACTTGACCACACTGAAGCTGGCCTGGAACAACATTAACAATCTGCCCCAGGCAACGTTCGCCAATCTTACCAAGCTCATTGACCTGGACTTGAGCAACAATCTGATTTCACAATTTGATGATCTCCTCTTTATTGAAAACAACGAGATTACTAAGCTTAACCTGGCCGGCAACCCCATTACCAAACTATCTGTGCGCCTTTTCATGCCACTCCGACAGCTCCGATCTCTTGACGTGAACGACTGTGAACTGACCTCGTTGCTCACCGACAAACAGTTCGGTGTCGACTATAAGTTCTTTGAGACTCTGCGCTCCTTCAATGCGTCCAACAATTCGATCAAGAGGATATCCGAGTCTGATGTTAAGGTCTTTAAGAACCTGCGCTCTTTGGATATTACCCATAATCCATTGAAGTGCGATGAGGACTTCCAACAATTTATCAGCTATGTCTCGTTGCACACACAAATGATGCCCAAGAAAATGCCAGCGCTGGCCAATCTGGAGGATCTCGCCTCCGTCTTTCAAATTGAATCGCAGGTCGGTTGGGCGCAGCTGGCTCAGGAGGTATGCAGGCACAGTAATATATCAACCGATGAGGAAGAGGATCTGGAGAAGCGCTTAGAGGAGAGCGAGAAGAAACTGGACGATGACGAAAACCAGTTGCTCAGCGTTATGGACAAGAGCGTCCTGGATAAGACCAAGCTGAGCAACATGCAAAACATAATGAAGGGCTCGGCTAGCTCTGAAGACAAAGATAAGGATAAGGACTCCGACAGCGCTGAGGAGGACCTGAACAATGGCGGCGAGGAAAAAGAAACCAATGACTTCGCATACGAGGACAGCGAGTACGATGATGATAGCGACAGCGATGAAGAGGATGATGAGCAGACCAACAAGCAGAATGAAAAGACAAAGACCGAAAACGCTTTCAAGAAATACATCGAAACCGAACTGAAGCCCATGATCAAGGATCAGGGTCTTAAGGTTGAGGAGGTGGATATTTCTAAGGAAACCAACGAAACCTTCATGCTAGGTTTGTAACTTTTTCTATCCTTTTCCTATTCTTGTCTCTAATTATCTCTGAATGTTTATTATAGACAAGCTCGGCATTGACAGCGATGAGGAGGAGATCATCATTGAGCGTGGTCGCATTTACTACAACAGCTCCAACTATTTAATACCAACCATTATTGTGGTCACCTGCCTGCTAGTGATTCTCCTGGGCCTCGCCAAGATGGTCGCTATGATTCTGCGCAAGCGCGGCGAACGCTATCGTATGGCCATATTGGCATCGAAGAACTCCTTCGTGTACCAGAAACTCACCGAGGATATTGTGAAACCGACTAGCAACGAGCCAAAACAACCAAAGGTGCACCGATACGCGCCCATCAATCAGGTCTAAGTCCCAACCGCACAGCAGTTAGTTAGCAGTTAGCTCCGGGGACTTCGTTTGAGTGCGGAGCGCGGTAGTCGAGTGTGTTGCGCTGTTTTTTTAATTTATAAGTTAATTCATAGTTAAACACGTGGAAATTCCAAGCAAAAGGTCATGAAATACAAAATACAAGAACAACAAACAGTAATAATAATAATTCATCAAATAAACGGTTCAACTCGACTTTCAAATCCAACTCAAGTCAAGTTTAACCGTTTGTCAACACTGACAGAAACACAGAGCTCCCAAGTGGAGCGTGAAAAAGTATTAGCAAAAACTGAAAGAAAATACTGAGAAATAACCCCCCCCCCCACATACATATATATACAGTCTATCTATCGATCTAGCAAATAGTTGTTGTTGTACTTAATTCGGTTGCAGCCACCGATGGCAAAGGGCAAAGGGCAGAGAACGCGAGCGAACAATTAGCAACCGTTTCGGGAGCAACGGACTTTAAACTGATTGGACTCCTCGTATTATTCTTCATATCCTTTTGGCATACATATGTACGTGTCGATCAATACATAATGTCGGATGATTTTTTGTATACTTTTGGAACAGTTTGAAGATTTAGTGCCATTTTGCCGAAATTCATATTATAGTAGAGAGAGAGAGAGAAAGAGAGAGAGAGAGGTTCATATAACAGACACTCAGTCATAATGGAACAGTTGGAGATGTATCTGTAGATCTGAACCTGCCAGACTCCTTAAAATAAACCTTTGATATCAAATCTGGGCAAGAAAAGAAAAGAAAAGACGCAAAGCATATTAATTACTACGTTAAGTCTTCTATTATTATTTTATCAATCAAATCAAGTACATTTTCGACTCTGAAACATATTCTGAATTCAATAAATTATTTTAACCAAAATGAACTTAATCTTTAAATTGTAGAAACACATACATATTTAAATACGCCACTAATATACAATAAAATATACTTATTTATGAATTTGATTTGATTAATTTTACATCAAATAAAAGATAAAAGGGAACGGTAATCCTCTCTTTTTATTCAAAATAAAATAAATAAATAAAATACACTAATTTTCAAATAAAAATATATCAAAAATTAAAATTGGAATACAGGGTATAAAACAGTTCATTCTACTTTTAGATTCCTTATTAAATGTTTATCAACCGTAATTACAAATAAAATGAAATCTTTGATGTCAGTATTAAATTGAATTGCGGCTTGAAGATGACATCAAGCGATCCACAGACCATCTGGCCACAAGAACCAAATATGCTGCTTCTGCAAATGCCTATTTTTAAGTTCGCTCGAACTTCTCTTAAATTGAAGACAAATACATTCTCGAATACGATCCGTTTCTTCCACTTGTCTGTAAACAAAAAATTGCGAGTACAATGCGAAAAAGTAAACAAAAAATTCTGTGCTGAGCTTTGCTAAAATGTTTTTATTTTCTTACTGATTTTGCATGTCTGTAAATATTTATTGCAGTGTTGAGGATATTGTGATTTGTGTTAACAAAACTGGAAATCATTAAGGAAACTAGATTTAAATGTTGGCGCGCTTTGATCCCTGGCTGGATCCTGGATCCTGGATATTTTGTATGTCCAAGTAGAAGAGTATACATTATAATAATTATACTCAATAAAAAAGATATTTTCAAATACATTTCACTTGCAAGTAGCTCTTAATGTTAAGTTTAGGTTTATAGATAATTCAAAAATGTTAATTAATATTAAGTTACAAGATCATTTGTTTAAATTTCCCCTGTAACTTGTGTAATTGCATGATGAACTAGTTCAGTTCACGAACTGTTCTTTTTATCTATCGATATCGCAAAAGCTGTGGTCAATGCAGCCAACTTCATTTAAAAGATCCGTTAGTTAGTTTTGGCTTGTGAAAATTTTGAGAGGTAGGTGATATTTAATTGTAATTAATAAACCTGCATCGAGTTCTCAAAAAGTTGGGCCAGTTCCGCTTGCGTTTGTGCACGTGGCGCCATTTTCGTGATGCGCTCCTGGGGCAGGGCACCGTCGACCAGCGCTGGAATGTCGCTGCTGGAAAAGCCAAGCTCGCGAAGGCCATTTTCAATGCCGGCACGCTGCATGTAGCCGCGTACAGTGTCTGCCAAAAGGCGTCCAGCATCGGCGGCCTTGACGCCTGTCACATCGGCGCCCAGTAGCTGAGCGGCCTCCAAGTGCCGCTCTGGGCAAGCGGGCGCGGTAAACTCGAAGACAGCAGGCGCACTGACCACAACCGAGAGGCCGTGTGGAATGAGTGCGTGCTCACTGGCATAGCCGGCGGGCTTGTAATCGCGCACATGTCCCGAGATGGGATATGATAGACCGTGACAGAGATGCACGCCGGCATTGCCGAAGCCCACGCCCGCCATGGTCGAGGCGAGATGCATGCTGGAGCGGGCCTTTAGGTTGTCGGGCTGATATATGGCGTCGAGGAAGTTAGTGCGTATCGAGTCCAGCGCAAAACGCGCCCACACATCTGATATAGGGTTTCTGCCCTGATACGTCGGACGCAGACTGGGATCAGCTGGCGCTGGACCACGCTCACGGTAATCGATAGCCGTAAAGCTCTCCAGGGCATGGCAGAATACGTCGAACCCAGCGAACGCCATTACCCGCTCCGGCTGCGTCAGCGTGTGCAAGGGATCGACAATAGCTGCAAAAGACGCAAAAAGTCAGCTCGAGAAAATCTTAAATCCTGCTCCAGACGCTCACCCAAGGTTGGCTTCAGATGTTTGCTTGAGATGCCAGTTTTGGCATGCAGACGTTTGTAGTCGAAAATTGCCACTCCCGTCGTCTCCGAGCCCGTGCCGGATGTAGTGGGTAGCGCGATGAGTGGCTTCAGCTTGACGGAAATCTGCGAGCATTGAAAAGATCATCAAAAGGAAGAATCGTACGCATGTATAACAATGGCTAACCTCTTTGGCCCGTCCAATGGGTGCATTGACATAGTCCAGCAGCTCCGCCTCCGGATCACTACAGAATAGATTTGCCACCTTGGCGGTGTCCATGGCTGAGCCACCGCCAATGCCCACGAACGCATCGAACTGATGGCGACGCGCGAATTGGGCAGCAAGCCAAAAGCTTTCATCCGTGGGCTCCACACGCGTCTCATCGTACACCTGGTAGTTAATGCCGTGACGTGCCAGCGAGTCCAGGGCAACGCGAACGGAGGGTAGCTTCGCCACATTTTTATCTGTCACCAGGCAAACATTCTTTGCGCCCCAATTGCGCAAATCAGCGCCCAGCTCCGCGCTCACGCCCGGCCCAAAGCGCACAGTGGACGCCGACATCTGCGCACAGAGATTAACCGTGATAAGTAATGCTGGACTTTGCCCCTCGCCAAGACTTACCTCAAATGCATACTCCTTGGGGCCCGTTTGAGCTGTGGCCGCTGCAGCCGATCCATAATTATGCGCATGGGCTGGACATTTGCAGCTAAAAGAAATATGCGAATCAGCTGCGGGCTTAGTTCAACATTTCATATCACTTACGAGTTCGAAACTATTGTGTTTATCAAATTTAAAACGTTCTTGCGCGACATTCTCAGCAGTTGTTTTCTAATTTCTAATCAGCTGCTGCTCTTAACTGATAACAGCGGCGGTGCTGCCCACTTCGATCGACGATAGCATTCAAATTAATCGAACTCATTTGTATATCGATAACTATAACGGTGCTTTTCATTTGTTGCAGTTCCGATTTAAATTCAAAACAAGAAAAAGAAATGTGTGACTACGAGCACGAGTACTCCTTCACGTTTGATGAGAGCACGCTGGAAAATGAGCTCAATGGTCGCCCGTGGGACTGCGGATTCGAGAGCATGTGGCAGCGCATTGGTGAGGAGCTGCGGCGGGAACAGGAGATCAACGAGCTGGATCACATATTTCAGGAGAAGCTTAACCTGCAATGCTGCTCGCAAATGGACTCGTGGATGTAGAAAGCTCTCCCTATATATATAATTTGTATGTTCATTTCGTTTAGTCAGCAGCATTTTTGACAAATGCGCTATTGTTTAAGATATTTAAGATATTGTTTGTACAATCGTCGTTTACTTAAAAACAGTCAATATTGAGTTAGGAGATAGGCTCCGATCAAAAATATGTCGTTCATATTTTTAAATATATTCGTTGTCCTGTGCTGCGATCATAAATTCAAATTCTCTCAGATAATTGGTATTAATCGATCGCGATAGACCAAGTTAACAAGCACTTGAAATGCTGTCAATCATCTAACAATATATGTATTTCTTTTATATTATATTATTTTGTAATCTCGTTTCGACAGTATTTTCGTGTTAATTTTGTATAACCACAATTGATCAGTATTTAAATCTACGATCTCATATGTAGAAATATACACATTTAACGAAAGTTCAAATGCAATAAATTGTGTATAATTATCAAGAATTCAGTTGTAAGTTATAGATGTCACCGCTAACGATCCCACGCCGAGAAACAATTCTCGTTCGCTTGCAATGAGAAAATCAATTGTTAAATGCTGTTGATGTCAATTACCTAAGTGTATGTCCGCCCATATTTAACGCGAGATTTACAACTCAATTTTATGAAATCGCAATTCACGATCTTAAAACATAAGCTACACTAAACGATGTTGATAGATTTTCCCAGCGCCATTTACATAAACATATGAGTCTCCGCCCATAAAAGGGGCGCTCCGTTAGATTCAGTCATCAGTTTACGTCCAACTGTCAGCAGCAAAGCTTCCAAATAGTATCTGTTTCAGTATGAAGTGGTTCAATCTGTTTTTAGTGCTCGGTATTTTGGCGCTGGTCGGCAGCATTGGTACATTGACAGCCGCTGAGCCTGTCCCGCAACCGGGACCAGAGCCCAAGGGACGCCCGCACACAACCCGTCGCCCAAGGAATGAGAACGAAGAGAATCGGCGCTAGCAGCCCAATCCCATAAGATGCACCAAACAGCAACAGATTCGTGATGCACAAACGGGAAATATTTTGGTTACGGTGCAATGCTTTGGATTCAAACAAATGCAATTTATTGATGTTTTACTCTTGTAATATTATAAATGAACCAAACAATTTTGGCACCAGTTAATTGTTTACGTAGACTATGATTATATTTCAAAACATTTAAAAAAAAAATCATCAAAACAGTCTCAAATCATTCCCGAACCGATTTTCTAAGAATAAAGCTTTCATTACATATTAGGACCGCACGATTATTATCAGTTGACTGTAAAGTCAGTAGTTGCAGCTGTTAGGTTGACTGATATGAGACATGATGCTTTAAAACGCGCGGAGATTTGTTGTTTGTAGAGCGTCATATCTTCGCCAAGTTCGGAGTTATGTCGTTTTCAAACGTCATATGGTATATTGATATTTCCCAAAAGAAAGTTACATTATTTTTCACAATTTACAATCGAACGTATATTTTTTAAAGAGTGTTTTTTATGTTTGATATATATTTGCATTTGTATATTTGATTATACACTTAAAGGAATTTGTCATTGCGTTATCTGTATTTCACAGAGTCGATGGCATCGGTCAAAATTTCTGAACTACAACAAATTTGTATTTTCAGCCAAATCTGTTGCATTCCTGGCCGAACAAAAAATAAAAACCGGTTCCCAGATGACCCATATATCCTTGGTTTCACCATATCATTGATATAGTCCTGGTGAACGTACAGTTTCAAATCCATGCGAACTTCACTCGGAAATTTTCCTGAAACATGAATGTATGCGTTTTCTTTCAGCCCCATTACCCCAGCATTAGCCTCTCCTCCCTCCATGGTTCCTAGACGACAAATATATCCTTGGTTTTCTCATACCATTGATAGAGTCCTGAAGAATCTATAGTTCCAAATCCTGGCAAAACATCGGAGATATGTCGTTTTCAAACGACATAATTCCGCGCGGAGATATGTCGTTTTCAAACGACATAATTCCGCGCGGAGATATGTCGTTTCAAAACGACATAATTCCGCGCGGAGATATGTCGTTTTGAAACGACAGCATTAGCCCCTCCTCCCTCCATGGTTCCTAGACGACAAATATATCCTTGGTTTTCCCATACCATTGATAGAGTCCTGGAGAATCTATAGTTCCAAATCCTGACAAAATATCGCTTAAAAGCTGTATCTACACTGTTAGTTAACATACCACTGCTAAAAGGGGGGCGAAAGGTTTGATTGGAAATTATGCAAAAATATCAGGCGAACAGAAATGACCAGCAGGTAGATGCATAGAAAATTTGTGCAAAAATGATGACTTGCAAGTTCGTTAACAGTTCACTGTTAGGCAGCTATTATTTAACAGTTCGCTGTTAAGTCACCGTTAGGTAACATACCTCTGCTAAAAATGCCAGGCGAACAGAAATGACCAGCAAGTAGATGCACAGAAAATTCAGCATGGATATGACGTTTGAAACCGACATAACTTCGCCATGATATTGGTTATGTGGGAGATATGTCGTTTCAAAACGACATATCTCCACCGCTCTAAAAACAACATTTTTACAAGAAATTTTGCAAAAATACCAGGCGAACAGAAATGACTAGCAGGTAGATGCACAGAAAATTTCCGCGGAGATATGTCGTTTTGAAACGACATATCTCCCACATAAACATTATCATGGCGGAGTTATGTCTTTTTGAAACGACATATCTCCCACATAACCATTATCATGGCGGAGATATATCGTTTCAAAACGAAAAATTGCATTGCATACCCACAAGCTGCAAAAATATCCTTAAAGAAAAGGCATTCATATATGTTGACCATTTCGGCCATTTAGGTTCACCAGGACGTTATCTTTGGTATGGTAAAACCAAGGATATATGGGTCATCTAGGAACCATAGGTTTTGATTGTCTGTTCGCCTGGGGCATGGCAGATATGTGGCTGAAAGAAAAGGCATTCATATATGTTGACCATTTCGGCCATTTAGGTTCACCAGGACGTTATCTTTGGTATGGTAAAACCAAGGATATATGGGTCATCTAGGAACCATAGGTTTTGATTGTCTGTTCGCCTGGGGCATGGCAGATATGTGGCTGAAAGAAAAGGCATTCATATTTGTTGACCATTTCGGCCATTTAGGTTCACCAGGACGTTATCTTTGGTATGGTAAAACCAAGGATATATGGGTCATCTAGGAACCATAGGTTTTAATTGTGTGTTCGCCTAGGGCGTGGCAGATATAGCTATTAAAATAATGTGTGATATTTTGACAATCGAGGTTTTTGATCATTAATTTATTCGTTTATATTATCGGCTTGTTATTGTAAATCTAGAATTAAATTGGTCTGCTTAAATGTAAACATCTCATATTATTGATACAATATATGTTTCAGTTGTCGTAATGGTAGGAAGGATATTTCAGTTATATTTTCGAAAAGATTAACAGTTTGACTATTGCGGATTACGTTAGCTGTGATTTGTTAGTCTCAAATAATTCTGTTGAAAATTACATACACATGTGATTAATACATATATATATTTATATTAACTAGACCTATATTAATAGCCATTTACAATTTGCACAATACTGCACTTTTGCAAAATTGATTTATTCTGGGGGTGGTTTCACATTTGCTTAGCTACACGATAGTTGTGTTGGGCGCTTACAAAATAATAATTTCAATTTATCTAAATTGCAATTACGTTTAAGGGTATTATTTCAAATCCAATCTCCGCTGACATTTAAATCTATTGCCCACTCGCCTCACAGCAATTGTGGTCGAGTATTAAATGAAATTAATTTTTTTAAAAATGTACAATTACATACGATTTGATTAGGCTATAATAAAGTTAAATTGTTTTTAGTTGGAGCTTGTTTTCCGGGCAAATGGCCCGAATGCTCTGTGGTTAATTAATTCAATTAATTAAATGTTTTCTCTTAATTGCGTGCATAGAACTTATCCAATATGTTTTCACATACACATATTCAATAAATATTCAAGTTTTCTGTTGTGTACTTTCCCTCAATCTGATTTAATCAAATATGTATATGTAGCTATTGGAATTTAACGTAATTTCTTTGAGGTGGGTGTTGAGTTGAATCTAATCGCATCCTTTTCAAAATACTATCGCTAAACTTTGGTTTCTTCACTCTTAACTTATCACTTTGGAATGCCAGACGAGGCGTAAGGGAAATAGAGAAATAATATATTATATGATATATTAGCTGGGTGCGATTATATAAAGGGAATCTGTTAGCTGCAATCAGATGTTCATTCAGGTGAGTCTGATGATGCGGATATGCCACCCAGACTGCAGGCACCCATGCTGCCGCTGGCTGCCACCCCAATGTCGCTGATGCTCTTCACCCGTCGACTATTCTGCTCGTAGAGCAGGTGGCTGTCCAGCCCGTTGGGATCTAGGATGCTGCCAACGGGTGGGGCACTCACACGATGCCCGGGTGGACCGTAATTGGAGCTGCCTGAGCTTGGTGGCGGCGGTGGCGGTGCGGTTGTGGGCGGCGGTAGAAAATGATGGGAAAGATGATGGTGATGCGACTGCATTTGCTGCGGACCTATGGTAGCGTATATTCCTCCACCGCCGCCCTCGCTGCTGCTGTACGATGGCGTTGGGGAGGTGGAGTTTCCGAAGGAGCTGCGATCGCCGGCGCGATGGGGTTTGCTGTTGAACCGAAAGGCTTTTGAAAGAGAGCTCTGAAAATGGTAAAGAAGTCCATCAGAAGAGAACTTGCATTCGAATTATTATAGTTTCCATTACCTGAGATCCTTTCCATGCCGAAATCTGTAAGGTAGAAGAGACAAAATATACAAAAAAAAATCATTTTCATTAGCTTTGAATTCGTTGAATAATTGATAACCAGCTGAGTACAATCAGAACCCATCCCCCAACCAATGTCAATTATTAAAATTGCAAACATCTTTGGCCAGTTGCATCTGACATTTATCTGCGATTTGCCGTGAAACTTCTGGTGTCGGGTATT